GGCGCCATCGACCACTGCCCCACATGCGCCCTTTCTTTTTTTTTTACGTTTAAAAAATCGTTCCAAACTTTCAGGACTAACCTGAAAGTCTCATTCTTTTTATTCTCAAACACTCAAAAGTTTCGTACATTTTTCTATACCTTTTCTGATCTGTGATGTTCAAAAGTCAAGGCAAAAATGAGAACAACACCTTCTTGTCACGATGATTATCAAAACATTAGATAAGCTTCACTATTTCTTGGGTGCTTTCAGAAAATAACGTCGGCACCGCCCTCTACGACCCCTGTTGATGCTTTGTTTCTAAATAGTGTTTTAAGATTTGTGTTCATATTATTTGCCAATATTATTGCGTCCAAATTCCAAGGAGCTCGTCTCACACGGAAGAATACATTTTCCTAAAGCACTTTGGCTTTCGTTTATAGATACTATAATATTATTTAGGTCGTGCTGATTTTTCTCTTTAGATCTCTGTCCTTCAAAAGATGATGAGCAGTCGTCACCAGGTCTACCTGAAATTCGATGGCCGAAGCTCGGACGGCTTCGCATTTTTCGGAGTCCAGACGTATTTTACATAACTCTACTCATATTATATGGACGCAGATAATACAAAGGTAGTCATGACAATCATCACAAGCACGGTGCTCGTTCGACCCTTCTCCGGGCTCACCAATTCTTCTATCCCTCTGGGATCGGGAAATTGGTATCATACTAATCCGGGAAATAATCACTTTCTGCAAGCCATGTGGGAAAGCTCTAGCCCAGCCATTTCAGGGCTCCAGGAAGGATTGACTTGACCCACATTCCATGACGTTCAAGATAAAATGAACATTCTCAAGATGGAGTCGAAGCCACACTTAAAAGTTAGAAGATCTTCGTGGATGCTAGATGCGAGGGAACGAATCGAATGTGAGAACTGTTGGCACCCGCATTATGGAAGTGAAAGACGGGTTGCGAAAAATAAAACAGAGAATTCATAAAACAAAAGATTATTTAATCTGATAAAATTTCTGCGGTAGTAATAGACACGTTCTATATGTTATATGTTAAGAAACACCCATCGTCTCCGCTTTGCAGCGGTCTGAGACGGTACCTGTGCTGTTCACGTGGGATGACGAGTGAAACTTGATGAATCTTTATTGGGAGTAAAAGTATGAACCACGGCGAAAAAGTAAAAAATTACCAATAATGTTAGCATAATTATGGATTACCAGATAAAACAAAGAATTAACTGCAATTTACGAACGTACAGTGATTTTTGGAAAGTTTCTGTCCTCACCTCCCGTCTCGTTAGTGAAGAAGCTATAATTTTCCTAATTAAGATAAAAAGCTTCGTATAAGCATTTCCGCAAAAACGCTGAATTACGAGCAGAACTCAGAACTTGAGATGAGCTCCGAATCAGCCTGTTACGCTTTCTATGCTATTAGGTTGGTTGCTCTCAGCTTCGATCTATCTGGTTGTACTTCATGTCGTACTCTGCTATGAAAAATAAAGGCAGTAAATAAAAGCTAAAACATTGTGGTTTCGACTGTACCTTCAGATTAACTGGCTAAAATGCCGATTTTTGCCCCCAAATCATTCCCGTTGACGCATGATTCCTGATAGCGCTGAAAGAGTAAAAACACGGCTAATAGACAAGCAAGGCAAGAACCATGGCTGATGCGTTGGACAACACATGAGTCCCCGGACGGCTGGCTGGTAATGGCTGGTTCTAAGCTTACCTAGGGTTCTGGGCTTTGTTCATATTTCAGCATCATTGTGCTAATGCACTACATCATGCCTTGTCATAAAAAAATAAAAGAAAAGAAGGATAAAAATCAGGCTGGAAGCAAACCCATCTGAGACGAAATACCAAAGAGGCCGGGATCGTTTATTTACTAGAAAGAGGAGCAAAGCTGTGCGCCTTGTCGAAGAAGCTAGGGACTTGCAGCCATAGTTCGATAAGGCCACTGAAACTGAAAGACATCGATTTCAACTTGTTCCTCAGTTGATTTCAATAATAACAAATCACAATGTATAATTTTTATCTACTGTCCATTATTGTTTTACGGCTGGGTATTATGTGAAATACAACCAAAACGATGTTGAGATATTTGCAAAACTACGCATCGAAGTTGCCTGCGGTGTGGATCGAACACGTTACTACCCCAAAGTGGATTTGTGCTGATAGAAGCGAATCTGCCACACTGACGCTAAGGAATCTTGACGATGGAATCGAATGAAAACAACTGATTCCACCATAATCACTGTAATGTTCAGAAGCAGATCATTTGTGTATTATGAAAGCAAGGATGAGTGAAAAATGCACAGAATTCCTCGGCGTTGATGAATGGCATGAAGGGTGATGTAATATTAGTCATGCCATGACGTCGAGGTCGAAGAACTACAGCTGATGTGCAAGCACTCCTCTGTGACCTGATTTGACTAGCCAAATGCTATGTAAATGGTTTCCGAACCTCATCAGGATTACAGTGAGAGGGCCCAATATTCTTGGTTGTATGCTTTTTATGAGCGCAAGCATAACCAGTTGGAAGACGTTTCAGAGTAATAGTTAAATTACCAGTTAGATCTTTTCCTCCGCCTAAATTTGGTCTATCAAAAAGAATCCATGTGAATAACTCAGACGGTTTTACGTAGAGATTTCAAATCAGGTACAAATAATCGGAATAGGAACGGTTTGTCTTTGCGCTTTTCAATTGTTTTTACTGTACGAAAAAGCGCTTAATGACTCGGTCTTTTATGAGATATTCTGCCGAGTTCTCAATGAGCCTCTTAATACTACCAGCTTTCAATTCAACGAATATTTGTCCTTTCCTTTTCCCCACTTTTTATTTCCTCCCTAATTTCTTTTGCAGTCGTTCATTTCCTCTTGAAACAACGTCTAAGTCTCCTCCACCGTACTGATAGTAAACTTCGGTCGTTCATCGGAAGTCGTCAGTCTCGGCCCACCTCTGCTCTGTAGGAGACCGGGACCGGCTGCTACAATGGGCGTGGCTGTGCAGGAGGAGTATAAAAGCAGGAGCCGAATGGACATCAGCCAGAGAGCAATCTCGTCCATCATTTATTCGGAAGATGTTCGAAATGTCCAGTAAACATATTCTGATCACTGGTGCATCATCTGGAATCGGTAGGCATTTCATCTATCTATAAAATCCTATCAATCTCATGTTCTTAGCGACAGTAAGAACCAGAAGACAACATTTTCCAATTTTCTTTTCAGCACTGAACTAAACCATAGATCTTTCTAGCTAACGGAAAACCTGAAACCATTACAAACTACCCACATGGTGAATCAATTTTTGCCTCGTGTCCCTGTTCATCAAATTACTGAGAGTTCTCCATGTTATGAGCATTAGTAGGTACTACAAACTCAGAAGATTGAAACCATACGAAACTCCTCGCTAATTTGAGCCTTAACAAAATTGGTGACTGCTTAGTTATTAAGGAAATATTCGCTAACCAATTTTATTGATTAAACAGATTTTTTTAAAGAAAATTTTGCCCTCATCGATTGTAAAGAGATTTTCTGAAAAAAAATTTTCCCTCCCCCTTGGTTGCGATTGTAAAAAAAACTTTTTCATCATTCACTTTTAAGGCCTCTCACTGGCCGAACAACTAAGTAGAGCTGGTAACCTGGTGACAATCACAGTCAGAGACGCCGAGAAAGCTACGTCAACTAAAAATTCGCTGAAAGAAAAGCAAGTGAGTTGAAAGAAGTGGCAAATTTTGTAAAGGCAAAAAACCGACAAAAGCGTTCGTCGATGATCATTCGGCAAGAAGTTCAACATGCATTCCTCTTCACTCGTAGTATCGTAGAGATAATTGAGTGCAGATTCGGTCTCTACAACTGCTTGCGGAGAGCTGTCGAATGGACCAACTTTTCGAGGCTGGTTGCTTGATTTTTCCAAGAATATCGAACCTAGACCAGTAGTGCATTGCAGGGCACCCCTAACCATTGCGCTACACGCGTCGCTGTAAATTCCTTAAAGAATACAATTCCTTCTTGACTATAGGCACATCTAAACACTTTAATAGATCGTTCGAAAATTTCGTACTCTAAGTCCAGACATAACTTGCTCAAATGTTCAGGTCAACGTTGACATCATCCAAATCGACTTTTCGATTTGGTCGTCTGTAGTCGCTACTGTCGAACAAATCATTCAGAATAAATCGTGAGTCCCCAAAAACTTTTCGAAGTCCTCAACAATACGCTTACAGCTCTAATCCATATGACTTACCTTCAAAAGCAGTGATGTCTCTTTGATATCAATTTAACCTACACCTACTGTGTAAATAGAAGATCCGCAAAGGGATCTGCATCGAATACAACTTGATGAAGCTACCAAACATTTAGTGGAAATAGTTCTTTTTTTCATGAGGACATAGAGCAAAAACTGTTTAGTAATGATTTAGGGTCTTCGACATTGTGATTTTCAATGCTGGTACGATGTTCCCGGAAGAAGCACGAACTTCCGACGGTGTAGAGACTTGCTTCCAGGCGAGCATTGCTAGTCGTTTGCTCCACCTAGGCAACTGTTAGAGCTTTAGTAGACTTTACTGAGCTAGGAATTTGAAAAATGTGCAACGGAATCAGCATTATGTTGTTACGTTAAATAGCAGTTTCCTTGAGTACGAGCTACTTTTTGGATTTGTAAGTTGGTTTCCGATTTTTAAAAAAGTTTTGGAGCATCGGAAACAAGAACGATCTCTATTGTTGTTTACTGGGCAGAAGAAATAGATTTTCCACCAAAAATTGAGAGCGTACCTAGCAAAAGCTTCGACGAACTGTGGTGTGAAGAAAGACTTCAAATAAATCGTATTGTCATTTTCATCGCTCAAAAAAGACGTTCATGCACGAACTCGCCGGATTCTTAATGAACGAGAGAAGTCGTGGACCTATTCTGGAATTCTGAAAATGCCGATTTTTTTCGTTAAGTCTTTTCATTATAATCACATTCTATCACGTTGGAAACAAAGTTTTTAGGTGAACGTTCTTGGACATATGTACTTGGCTGATGCTCTGATTAAATGTCGTCCACCATGTCATCCGATGCACTTTGTTTGTGTATCATCAACTCTATTCAGGTATGCCAACGTTCAACCGCAACGTGCAGTTTTCCAATGACAACGTTCGCATGAGTTGTCATTTTTCGTTTTTTCTTTCTGCACCGTCAGCCTATACAGTAACTGTTGCCAGTCAAAACAAGTCGGACGTCTTCCAGGTTGTGTGGTAGATCGTGGCCAAGATGGAAGCTGCCTAGAGAAGCTGGCGACTGGGAGGCTGTGTTTCGGCCACGGTCAAGATCCGGTTGGAGAGCCTATGCCCTCAGTAAATTTGCCATCACCCTACTGGCGTCGTGTCTGAATAGACTTGAAGGAGTCACGGCGGTGGCAGTGAATCCTGGCAATGCAATCACGAACGTTTCACGAAATATGCCTATTCGACACCGGAAAATTCTCGGAATGTTCAAGAATACACTGATCAGTGTGGTGGGTGGAAGATTCTCTCAACACGAAGACAAACTTTATCAAATTACCCGGAGAGAGGAAGAAAGAGGAAGAAATAACTTTTAATTCTAAGATGTGTTGAAAAGTGTACTCAGATATTCAGACCAAATTCTTACTCCATATTGATTATTGAAGCGTCATGAAGACGAGCAGAGTGAACTTACATTAAGCCGTAGGCAACAAAGAAGAACTGCAAATATGCAAAACAAAATGAATAGGGACAATCCGTAGATCGGTTAGAAATGAACTCTGAGGAAAGAGGTTTTCAGGAAGAAGCGGCATCGAACGTCGTTCGGGCTTGTCATCATCCGCTTCCTGAAGGCAAATTCTACGATCAGTCGAAGATGTCGTCACTGCCGAAAGCGCTCACATCAGAACGTAATATGTACAATCTCAATTATCTATCACAGCAGTTGGTGTTGAATATCATGCAGACGACGAATGACTAAGAGGAACACATTCATTCCACGATATTTAGTGTATGTGTAGTGAGTATTGGTAGTGTTATAGAAACAGAGAAATTTGGCTGACGTGAGGAGTTTTAAGCGAACAGTTCCAGCTTCGATATGATCAGCTCCTCCAAAGAAGTTACCCGTCATCTATGAAAAAGTTGTACAAAGTGTCGATCTTCCTTTCTTCTACTTTATCTTCATGTATAAATATTTTGATCTGACTGTAGTTAATCATGTCTTTTCGTGTTTTGTATACTTTTTTCTTAATAAGGGTCTTGAGTGTTATAGATCTAACAAAGTGTTCTTGGAGAAAAGAATAAAGAACAAAGCGTTCGCTCTAGATCAGTCCTTGAAAGATGCGATCTGCATTCGACTACATTAAGCATCGCTTGAGGCAACTGAATTCATATCTGGTCTAAACACTGACCTGTCGTGGTTTACGTTAAGCATTGCTATGCTCCCAGGCAAGTCTGGTAGCAATCTCCCTATTCAGGAAAATGGAAGGGTTGGCGAGGCTGGTACACGACAATGGAGCAAGCAACGACCACGTGTATATTTCAAAATATTCCTAGCCACCCCACTACACGTGCCCATTTTTGAATACTCTCTTCGTAGTGTATGTACGGAGAGCTCTGGAAGTATCGAACTTCTCTAAAGAATGGAATTTTTTTCTTTACATCTAATGAATTTCTTTATCTTTGAAACTTTAAGAAGTAGCCTAATGAGATACGAAAATATATGAAGAGGTAATGTAAACGTGTAGTGCAAGATTAGGAATTTCTTCAAGTGGTTCTCGAATATGCGAAGATTCATAAAGTACCTTTTATCCCTCATTGATAAGTTAACATGAGGTTGTTATAAAAATTTTAGCCTGCTAACAGTTCGATGACATCAACTTCTTCAGAGCAGGGATGATCCGAGTCGATTGCCAGTGTTCATTAGGCAAAATGGGTTTTCGAAGTCGCATTGAGTTAAATCATCTTTAGTGGAGTATCGCTCAAATAAAATAACCTCACTTGGAGGGTTTCCTTATGCAGGACGATTTTTGACTGATGGTGCATTGATAATTTGCTCAGTCCATTTTGCAGCAGTCGGTATTATACCGGTTGGCAAAAAGGTGAGATAACATTTTCGAAAAGAATGACATGAGGGAATTGAATTGACTATTCAAACCGAGGTTAAATGAAAGCCCGCCTTTAAAAATGCCACTTTTTCTCATTCTTTTTTCCTTGAACACATTTTTTACGATCTAATTTTATCCCTTCTTCAATTTTATGTTCATTGTACCACAGGAATTACTGTGGAACAGTAATGGCGATACTGCATGATCGCGGGTTATACCATCAACATTGTCAAGCCCGAATCTGGTATACTACTAGACTGAAATTTTATTCGGAATAATAAAGTGACGACATCATAGCTTCTTTCCATAATCGGACATTTCGTTGTATCATCTTAAGATCGATACACATCATTAACGTTACACTTCACACTATGTTTACATTATAATAACAATATACTTCTCCTAGAAGTTAGCAGGAATCAAAGTCATTGCAGCATGCCTCCAACTCTGATCCATCTATTTGATGTGCCAACCACTTTGTCTCATTTTATTTTCAACTTTATTTCGTACTTGTCTTCATATCCACTGTGAGGAGCCCAGCAATTATTGCATTCGATTCGTTTCCACGCATCCACCATCCATGAAGGTCTTCGAACTTTTCGTGTGTTGGTTTGATTACTGCTAAAAGATCGTTGTCTTCTTTATGAATGTGGTTGAATGCAGGGCTACTCCATTCTCCGTGAAATCTTGGGAAACCAGGCCTAGAGCGTTTACACTTGTACGCAGCGAAATGATCTCGGATAAATTCGGTGCTAATTTTCTGCTCTCTGAAGAATGATAAGCATGTTTAGCTCAAGGCGTGGTCTAATCAGCACCATGCTCCTGGATCACTTAGCACAAAGTAAGTTAATAGACTTGCTATTCTGGAAGAACATTTTGACGACGAAGACGTGTTAACTGCTCCCAATTTTGCAAAAGTAAGAGAAGAACACGAGATCCATGGGTAACTAGCATAGGCTCCAATTTCTTTCCCTCCGAGGAAAAATTGCCTCATTGTTTGTATTATTCAAACCGGAAAATTAAAGAGCTATCGCAAGCGTAATTCTGCTAAGTTGCCCTTAAAAGCCATACATCGGTGCGTTAAGTATTTCATAACAAGTTTTTTTTAGTTCTGCTAAGTTGTCCTCAAAAACCAAGCATCAATATGTTAAGTATTTCATAACAAGTTTTTTTAGTTCTGCTAAGTTGTCCTCAAAAGCCAAGCATCAATATGTTAAGTATTTCATAACAAGTTTTTCTTTAGATCTATTGCATTGCTCAAATCGCAGACGCAGCAATAGAAGCCGTGGCAGTAATTTTTTGAACCCTGAAGAACAGAAGGCTTGGTTAGCTGGGGCGCAGGTTCGATCTCACGCGTATTGCAAGGCGCCTTCGACCACTGCGCCACGCCAGTCCCATTAAAACATATACAAATTGAAAATATGCAACAATAGTAATCTGAAACAATGAAACATGTCTTTGAACTGTTCTCTTTACAAATGTACCTAAATGATAACTGCAAAGAATTTAGAAAAAGGTTTTAGTTTGATTTTGTTCATTGAACATCATATACTACTTCTGACTAGACAGCAAGCAAGACTTTAGGAAATCGTACCTACTGTACATTATGACTACAAAACAACATAACTAAAAATGAAGGCTCACACGTTTTCAAAGAGGCAGATCAAAAATAACAAACTCATTAATCGATAAAAAATATAAAGAGTGATTTGAAACGATATTAAATGTTATGTAATATTCAATAGAACTGAACAAATTAGAGTTTTGCTCAAGTTCGAAAGTTTTCTTTTTCACGTGGAACTACTGCTAATTTTCATTGCACGATTGCTCTAAGGACAAAAAATTGGGACAAAATCATAACTCTCGAGTGTGTAGCACTTTTGTCACCATAACTAATATACCTAGATTAATTAATGGCATATTATTCTTAGTTGTTCTGATTAATGGCCATCTCACCAAGCACTATCGCATCCTGCTATTCAAACATTATCATTAATTATTACTGTGGAAATTGTTACTTCATAATGATTTCCATTACTGATATTTATCGATATTATGATTGTCCTCAGAACAGTTTACGGCCAGTTTAGTTTCGCTCGAGGGTCCGGTCACAAACTACGATTCGTGGCGGGGTTTCATCTCCCAGCAGGGTTACCGGTGTTGAGACCGCAGATCAAAATTTCCATTCAAAATCGCAACTATGACAAGACGACAATGCTGGAAGCGAAAATATGGGAGCTCCTCGTCTTGGCGTAGGCGTCGAGTTGCTCCATCGTTCTTGAATGCTTAGTCAGTAGACTGATCACAGAATCGCAAAAATTGTTGCCGTCGTCAACGAACCCCATTCCTAAGACAATACCTTTTGATTCACATTGATTGGCCGATGCTTTTCGTGACAACGTGAGAAGGCTGACAACTTAACTTTTTACAAGAAAAAAATCATTCCAGACCAACAATATACTATTTATAACTAAGAACTAGCTGAGAGACAGGCAAAACGAAGGATCCGTATGGTGTGGTGGTGAACGCGTTACTCCCCAGAAAGGACAATAGCGTGTTCGTCCCTCACCGTAGACACCTGCGGTCCGGAGTTTTGCAAATATCTCAGCATCATCTTAGCTGTATTTCACATGATACCCCGCCGTGAAAAATTATAGTAGGCGGTAAATAAAGAAGGTTAAGATACTATTTATATTTAAAATATGCTGAGGATAGCAGGACACAGAGCGAAGGACGATCACCCAAGCACACATGCAATATGTTTGCAAAGATGTGTTAACAAATTTTAATGAAAAAAAGCAAATCTAATTTTACAAGGATGAAACAGCAACACTTGAATTGTCCTACCTTTAAAAAGGTAAATATTCAATACACATTGGAGTAATACTTTAGTAAACCGGCGTTCATTTAACCATGGCGTTAAAATATCGATATATATATTATTATATTTTTTTATTTTATTTGATTTGTCTTCCGTCTACCGTGCGGACACCAGCACTTCCCATATTCGATTTGTTTCCTCTCATCCGTTATCCACAAAAATCTTCCAACGTGTGGTTTCGGTTGCTGCTTGAGGATTTCCATTTCATTTTGAATATCGTAGAATGCTAGTCGAGCAAATCTCCCTTGAGTCCTGAGATAGCTGAGCTGGAGCGTTTCCAACCGGATTGGAGAGAGTGATTGTTTCCCAGATAGGTCAGGTACCAATTTGCCGACGTCGAAGGGATGAGAGGCTTGGTTGAACCGGAGCTGGATCGAACTAACACCGTGCTCGTGATGACGAACATCACTAACCCTGTGCTATCCGCTTCTTATTATTATACTATTATTGAATTATGTCATGTTATTATAACACATTTGCTTTGATTATTCACCTCTCAAGATAGTATTTAATAACCTCCATATGGCTAACGTTTCGACGTCTCCGTCCACTTCAAAACTGATGATTGAACTAGATGGCAAGAACGAACGGTTGCGAACCATCGACTCGTATTATCTCCTCTGAAAAAGATGATGATGTCAGAACGTTAGGCGGAGAAAGATTCTGTGACGAACTCGTGTAAGCTGAACAGTCTAAGCAAATATACAGATCGGAGCGTCCTAGGTTCTAGACTATGATGTGATACTTAGAGGTTAAAAGTTTCCTTAAATTCTTATCTCATTGATCGCCGAAAAGTACAAAAACGAATTTCTCGTTGTTTTCGTGGAATCCTTTCTCATTCATGAATCTCATTCGGGGTCGCTCAACTCTATGGATGATCGCGACAAGGCAACAAGGCGTAGGAAAGAACTAATAGGTTCAGAGTAACAAGTGAAGAAGGGTCAAGTAAGCATAAGTGAAAACTCAAGATACTGACTTTCTATAAACCTCAGC